CTGTATGTTCTTGATTTTGTGACTTATTTGAGGGATAATTCTGAGAGGGAGTATGGAGTCAATAACGTAAAAAAGATCAAATTGAAGTTATAGTCGCCCAAGACATTCAATTCTTTTAGTCTAAACCTAAAACGTAATTATTAATACTAGTAGTCGATTGAAGTACAAAGATAATACTATCCTGTGTATTGAATTAATGCGGAAGAGGGGTATCGAGTTAATAGGATATGACGTGCTTATTTACGTTTTCACACCTACTTAAGAGTTAGAACGAATTAAGCCATTGTTCGTGTAACCAATCTGTTGTGATAGACAACGAACGCGGCAACAATAAAACAAGTCTTCTTGTCAAAACTTAAAGAAAACGTCTTGAAAGAAGGCAACACGATCATATAACCGAACAATGTTTGTGAATGGCTAATAAATAAGCTAAAAACCAAACTTGTCAATATGCCAGTATAATGTTAGCCACACCGGCACCGATCTTCGGAAACCGCGGTGTTCAGTCGAGCCATGGTCTCACTAAATTAAATTAAAGCTTTGTTCTTGAAAAAGATTTGCTTTGTTTTGCGAATGAAAAGTTCCATAAAACTCCCTTCCTCACTTCAAAGTTGTATCAAACCTCTCACATGAACCACAAACTGACGACTATTTATGCTTGGGTAAGACTTACCTTATATCTTTTAAACTATCCAATCGTGACAACATGATCTCTCCTTCGTGTTCCGCCGCCATCTTTGAGGTTGATAAACAAACAAAAGAGCAACATGGGTAGTTTGTCAGGAGTGGGTGGGCTAGTCCATTTTTCGATCATCACGGGGGAAGTTGTCTACCATATACAGGTGGTTTACGCTACCTAGACACGTGCGCATATTTCATCGCATACGACGGTGGTAATATTTAATGTTAAATTGTGTATGTATAATTTATTATTTCGGTGCTGAGTCAACGGAGAATACTATAGGTACTTTTGTAAATGTGGTTTCTTAACAGAAGAAGCATAGAAGACAATATACTCTGTCATTAAAAATATACTTCGCTATAAAAGTGATGATCTTTTACTGTGAATGAAAAAACAACCCAACCAGCAGTATTGCGATACAGATAACTGCAAAAAAATGAACAGTTTGTATCGGTATTTGATATCAATACTGCTAGCTATACTGCAATAAGTTGCATGCTTTGTCGGGCCAGTTTGATATAATGTGTGGACTGCCTCGGTGATTATAGATACAAAACGTTTTTTGTTTGTTTTTTCCTCTCTTTTTTTCCTTTCTTTTTTCCATGAAATTCCGATTCAAATGTATCCACGGCATCCATACAGTGTTTGCCATGTCAACGAGTTGGCGATCTACAGGGTGTTAACCCGGCTTGAAAGTCGTTAGCCAAAAATAAACATACAAAGTACGAAAATTATGTTTGTCAAAACAGAATAATACATTGAACGCAAAATTAAAAAAAAAATAATTGCAATATAACAAGACTGTGATTTTTAATAAAATATATCGATTGCATAAAGAAAGCCTGGCGGGCCGGGCCGACTTGTTCCAAAACTGTGCATGCAGTTTCAAGCTCCAAAACTGCTGTTTCGAACACTTCATCCCGGGCTGCACCCACATTTACTTTATTCATCGGCGTTGAAAGTCTAAAACAATTCATACAATATTGTTTTATCCCATGACAATGCACACATCCTTCGCTTTTCTGTTGTTCACATACATGTTTAAAACTGAATGTACAGATCAACAGAATGAACCTTGAAAGTTTACTGAGACTGTTCGTCTCAACAAGTGCGCCATCAGGCGACAACTCTTAGTTTTATTGAAAAGTTTTTATATTTCATTTCGATTCAAGACAACGTCAGTTTCTGGGATGGGTGCTGTGCCGGTTTTTTTTTATTTTTTTTTATTTTGGGCGAGTGTTCTCGGTCACGTGTAAAAACGCTGTATTAAAACACAGACCTACTATAGTCATTCCGCTATTCAAGTAAACATGTGTTTATTTCGCGCCATATTGACTAGCCAAATGCGTTGTGGTATATATACATTGATTGGACAATCATTTGACCTCTTAACTACTAACCCAATCACGTACTCTGTTATAAACAAGCTGCATGACCTGAAGATATTTGAAAGGCAAAATGGCGCTACAACCTAATCAACAACTCTCTTTGGGTAAGAATGACGTTTTACGCCAAGTCATGCCTTTATTATTATTGATTGATTTACAACAAATATAGATAATAATGAACGTTTATTTTGCCTTCCAGATTTTGTGCAGGAACAAGGATTTCTTTCCTTTTTCCGATCAATGTCAGAGGTGAGTTTTGTGTATACAATACAGCTTAGTTTTTGACTGTTACGGTCTGGTAGGGTCATTCCAGTCCCCCCCCCCCTACGGATGGATATTAAGGTTATGACACCCTATGGATTCAAATCCACCATTCAGGTGTCGGATTTTTGATAACTAACACACCCCCTGGAACTTTACTGATTTGACGTATACGGATGGGTATGTGACAAAATTAAATATATCAAAAATATGACACCTCTCGGAATTAAACCATCCATACTTTTTGTAGAAATGGAACCCCTCGGATTTAAACCATGCGTAGAGGGGGGGGACTTGAATTACCCCTACTAGATCATGTCGATCCCCATACCTCGTGACTGAACGTAGTAATAAGTTTGGCGAAGCACAGCTTATACATTGAGTGAGAGGGTGCCAATGTTCATATGATTTCACGTTGATTGAAGCGGGATTAGAAGTACGTCACAGGTGAACATGATTTATCCTGTAGCAATGGAACTTTAACCCTAACACTAATTCTACCCCAACTATCATCCAGGACTAGGGGTGGGGAGAAAAAGGAATATTTTCTCAACTATTTTTTAGACTATGTAAAAAAGTAAAAACCAGGATATTTTCTCCCACTGTGTTGTTGTGATTAGTTATTAAATGTGAACTGAATTACATCGACTGTGCCACTAGTTCATTTTGCACTTGTATTTCTGTGTTACTAGGTTGAAAATCGTCTCGATCAACATTTCAAAAAAATTACAGACCCAGATTAGTGCGGTACACCTGATTACGTTTTGAGGATCAAAAATACTTCTGTGTTCACAACTGAGCCATTGTGGATGGAAATAAAATTTTTGACCTTGTTTGCATAATTCTCCAACAAAAAAATTATAGTCACAATGTGCTTCATTACTGTAAAATACTTATTTTTTACTGGAATTAATTTTGCTGAAAAGACTTTTTGGTGTTTTGTATGTAATTTTATTTTTCACTGATTTTTGACTAGTTGAATGTAAAATATAAGAAAAAAGGTATATTCGCTGGATTTTATTTTCACTGAATCATTCCTTCAGCGAAAATAGCGTAAATTAGTTCCAAGCTTAAAAAAAAAAGTATTTTGCAGTATGCGCTATGTTCATAGCAGAAGATAATTATATTGTCAATTTCAGTTGACAGAAAGGCTCTTGCTGTGTGTTATTTACATTTGGGGCCTACTGTAAAATCTGTATTAAAAGCTGCGGCTTCTAATAAAATGGTACAATGCAACAGAGGGGATGTGGCTTTTATTAGAACATCTACGTATATGAGAAATGGTGAATTTTTAGGTCTCAATTGTTCAAAAAGAATGGGTGTGGCTTCTATTAGGGATGTGGCTTCTAATACAGAAATACATAGTATACCCGGTATTTTAGACAGGCTTGCATAAATTAAAACTACCTCCAATCATATTAATGGATTTTATA